AGAGAAAGAGACAGAGAGACAGAGACACAAAGAAAGAGACAGAGACAGAGAGACACAGAGACACAGAAAGAGACAGACAGAGAGAGACAGAGACACAGGCACAGAGAGAAAACAGAGACAGAGACGGAGAGACAGACAGACTTGGGGCATGTGAGGCCAGCATCAAGGTGCTTTCCACTAGGCACCTGGCCCTGGGTTCCTATTTTGCTTCCTCTCCTGTTCTTTCTGTTTCTTCCTGTCTCTAGGATGAGCTTTTATTCTCCTTACATCCCACTGTTTGGATGTTAGAGGGTTCTCTAAGAAATACAAGTGAGTTCCAATAAATGCTTGACCATGAATGCCACCCACACCCCTTTCCTGATTCCATAAAAATTCCTGCCCCTTCATAAAGAGGAGGTTCCTTTTTTATTTTAAAGCTTTTTCATCCAGCTTTTGCTCTAGGGCGATTCTGATTCTCTTCAGCAGCTGTCTTGATTTTAAATGAGCCCCAAGGGGAACGGTCGCTTGCCTTATTCCCTGGTTTCTAGACTGCCAGGGTTCCTTTGTCCTGGGGAGGAGTCCACCTGACTCCAGTCTCTCCATCCCTTCTGCTAGATCTATCCACAGTGCTGCTTCACCGCCCCCTTGCTGGAAACATCCCCTCCTCCTCCCTCCCCACACCCTCCCACCCCTTGCTTTGTAATAAGTTAAAAGATCTGACAGGTCTGACTTAGGAAGAGGGGGTGGGGGAAGTTGAAGAAAAGTTGCCAGTAAGCTTTTGGTCACATGGTGACTCAGTGGCCAAGCCAGTAAAAATCCCAGGGGTTCTGATGCTGGGAGAGAGAGCTTAAGGGGGCCCCTTCCTGCAGAAGGGGGGCATTCACACCCACCTGGAGCTGCGTGGCATAGTGTCCCAGCTTGATCTTCAGCAAAAACCCATCTTCCCCCACCTGGTGTTCTGCCTTCTTCTGCAGCTCCTGCACCAGGCCCTCCAGGAGCTGGGTGGCCTGGCCTCGATCCTGGGGATTGTCCAAGTCAATAGCATCCCTTGGGACATACAAAGGGGGAGATAAAGCACCAAGAGTGGTTCAGGGCCTCCTAGTCCCACAAGACTTGCTCCCGGCAGCTGTCTAAGCATCAAAGTCTAGAAGAGTCCCCGACAGCTCCCATTTCCCTCTTCCCCTTTCCCAGGGACACCACCCCTTCCGCACAAGGACAGATAGAACCAGAGTCATACCAAACCACAAGAGGAGACCCATGGCCTGGATAGCAGGGACACATTCTGAAGGTAAAGACTCGGCATGGGGCACCACCTACCACGGCTGGCTCTCGATCCACTGGGCCAGGTAGTGCCGGACCTCGATGGGGAAATGCTGCCCATACAACACTTGCATCTGGCGCAGCGCATCTCCCTGCAGCTGCTGGGCCTGAATCCAGCCCGCCATGGCTCTTCACCTGGGGGAGGAGATAAGTCATTTGTTCCTCAGAAGTCTCTAGTCTGCCAGTGCTTTGCAGTGCCAGGACCGAGATGAGGCCAGGCCCCTCTCTCACCGTAGGCACGCTTTCCTGTGCAGGCAGACAGATGGCCACCCTTCCCTTCCAACAAGGAACCCTCGAGGCTGCCCTCCTCTCTTCCTAACCCTTCCCTCCATGTCCCTTCGCCCCATGGAGCTATCCCCAGACTAAAGAAAAGGGGGTCCACAAACCGAAAGAGAAACTTAAGACACAGAGGCCCACAGTCCCCAACTAGACAAACACAAAAATTCTTCCCACCCAGCCTAGTGCCCACATTCAATTTCTGGGAAGGGAAGCTGTTTTAACCTAAAAGTTAAGCCAACGCAGCGACGGCCGCTGGAGGTGCAGGTCTCCGCAGGCACGTGTCTGGGGCTGTCAGGGAGAGAAGACTAAAGGGGTCGACGCTGTCTTAGGAGGAGCCCTGGGCTGCACTCCAGAGTCCGGCCGCTTCAAGTGGAGCCTGACAGTGTCAGTGTCCACTGCGTGAGTCCACCCCTGGCTGCCGCCTGCACGGGTCGCTTGTCCTTGCTCCCTCTGAAGCTCCCATTCGAAGCCGGGATGGATGCCTGTCCCATGTCAGGCCGTGGGGACTCTAGAGTGCTAGGTGTCGGGGACGTGGCTGCAGCCTAGATCCCCTGTCCACGCGCCGCGAGCGACGCCACGGCGACCCACCCACCTGGTGCTGCAGAGCGCCGGCGGCTGTCGCTCCGGGCTGGGGCTTCTGACGGCTCCTGACGGCGGCGGCGGTGGAGGCTGTTACTACAGGAAGGAGCAGAGAGCAGCGATTTCCTCCTCAAAGGTCAGCTGCCTCCGATAGACCATACACAGCGCGCGAGCTCGCGCCAGCACCCCTCCCAGCAGCGGTCGCTCCCTCCTTGCCTCCGCCCTCGATCACCGGCTCCCTGGCGAGTGCTCCGGGGCGCCCCGCTTACAAGACCGACCACTAGGCTGTGCGGCGCTGTGCGGAGGACAGCCCCTACAGCGGGGGTCGCCCCCACACTGGGACTCCCATCTGTGCTCCCCTGCGGCTCCGGGGGTAGGGTGGGGAATGAGGGAGGAGCGTCCTGGGACAGCTGAGCTGGAGCAGCCGGAGGGTGCCGCCGGGAAGTCCCGAACTCTGAAAATCCCTAACTAGGGCCTAACAGTTTTATCATCTGTTTAAAAAAAAAGGAGGGGTGGGTGGGCGGGGGGGAAGAGGGCTACCTAGAGATGGCTCCTACCTCTGGCGTCAACTACTCTGTCTCTAATTTACAGAATATGGTGTGTGTGTGTGTGTGTGTGTGTGTGTGTGTGTTCAGGTTAAGGGTGTATGTGGCTTCTATCCCTGCAGAGTCTATACTTTAGAAGGACTGGGGATTCCAGAGAAACCAAGCCCGCCTCAAAGGTCTCCCTCCTTGCATGTGACCTTCCCCTGAAAGCAGGAGCAAGAAAGACCTTGGCAATCATGTTTCAACCCTCCACCCTCTTCCGACCTTTGCAGGTAAGAAACGTCAATCCAGAGAAGAGAAGGGGCCTGCCCAGGACCACATTGTGGACACATCACAGTCTCATCAGCAGACTGTGGCCCACAAATGATTCAGTCTGTCTAGTCACCTAGAAGGGTCACATCTGAAGCTGGTCCTACCTTTTACAAAGGCCCAGGAAGGGATATTTTGCACTTTCTAACTTCACATCTGCCCACAGACTTTGCCATGACAGCAGACCTGCTTCCTGGAGCTTTGCCTGGATCATAGTCCCCATCCCTAAGAGTTCCCCCTCAAGGCCCAGGGGTTGGACAAGGCCAAGCTGGAAGTCTGCCATCCCCTTTGCCCAGCTTCCCTCTCCTCTGGGCCTCCTCTCTGCCTGGCAGTTGGCATGGGCAGTACCAAAGGAGGGGCCAGCCTGGCTGCCTACTCACAGACCATCTGGGCCAAGACCTAGTGTCCTGGGGGGATCGTTTTAATTGGCTTCCTCTCTTACTAATTTCTTCTTGTATCTTTTCTTTCCATTCCTAGTTCCTGATCCTTCTTTCTGGTCTTTCAATCTCTTCTTTTACTCTTTTTACTTTAGAGGTGGGGAAAACCTGAACCTTTTCTGCAGAAGTTGAAATGTCTGGGCTGTCCCCGCCCTCTGTGTGTGGTCACAGTGACTTTACTTGGCAGGATCACGAGGAAAGGAATTGAAAACTGAGGTGTGGGTTGGGGGGGGGTTGCAAGGAGGACTGGAGGATGGGAGGGACCTTGCTTTTCAGATGCTCTTTCGGGACCAGATGGGGTAAGGGGCTCAGGAGGAGGAAGCGTAAACCTTTCCCCTGTCTTCCTTGTCTAGTCTGTACAATGGGTTGGATAGGAGCCAGTTAGACCCTCGGCTCCAGACAGACATCAACAAGGAAAGCTGGCAGAGGCCATGAAGGTGATTTTACCAACGGGAGCAATAAAAGGCCAGATAGGGGAAGTGACTTGACCAGACTCTTGGAACCTATGTGGCAGATCCAAGCTCACTGCCTCATGATAGGTGGATCCCACTTGCCACCTGTGTCCCCCAGTCTTTCACAGTGGACACGACAGCAGATTCATTAAGTTTCCCAAGTTCTCTGAGCTACGTCTATAGGCAGAGGACCATGCTGCTCATGCCCTCCATCTGGACACCCATTTCCAGTCACTGACTTCTCCAGACCCCTCCCCCAGGACCCGCAGAAGTCTGGGGCTCCCACATCTGGCTGGGTTGGGCTTGGCTTGCTGGGACCGTGGTTAGCTGTTTACTCAAAAGCTACTACGGAGGTTCCATCGAGCAGAACTGTAGAAGAGTCTGCAGAATCCACTCATGTCCCCAGACCTTCCCAGGACCCACAGATGGCTGGCTGCTTGGTTTGCCTCTGGCTCTCTCCTCTTTGGGCCATTTTGAGGCTCCTAACCCTTGTATCCTTAAACATCATTTTCTTGTTTCTTATCACTATTGTGTGTGCATATGCTGTGGCCCTTGTGTGGAGGGGACAACACTCATGGAATAATGTCTCTCTGTCAACTGTGTGTGTGTTGCCAAACTTGCTTGGCAAGCGCCTTTACCCACTGAGACATTTTGCCAGTTCATCTGGTTTCATCTTTCACAGCTCAATTCTACCCTTTCCTACGTCTCTCTCAGAGAGACACGATGGGCAGATGGGGAGGAGGGCAACTCTACAGCTTTCTCACGATGGGAGCTAAGGAGGGAGGGTGTTGAATTGGGTCGAGGGGTAGAAGTGACTGTAGGTATGACTCCGGATAAACACAACCACCCGGAAGTGTCAAATTTGGTTTTGTTGTGGTGGTGGTGGTGGTTGTTGTGTTGTATTTCGTTTTGTTTGCTTTCAGTCCTTTGGTTTGGTCTCTGCTGTTTCCCACCACAGAGCATCCTGGTGGTTTTAAGGGACCAAGCACTAAGGGAGAAAACCAAATCCTGGGGAAAAGGAGTTAGGAAGATCAGAAATGGACCTGGGTGGACCTGAAAGTAGCAGCTGGCCTTTTGCCTCTGATAATAATGCTTTGTCCCCAATTTTGGGTTTTGCAGTATTCATTGGAGTAAGGGGAGGATTCAAAACAAAATCATGCAAGATAGCCCAAAATGGTGGTATGAACTTTGTAATCTCAGCACAGGGGCTGTGAAGACAAGTGGGTCCCTGGGAATCATGGTCCAGCCATTCTAGCATAGTCAACTCTACCAAGTCCCAGTGAGAGAGCCCATCTAAACAAGCAAGGTGGACACCTCCTGAGGTTGATTGATACCTGAGGTTGACCTCTGACCTCCATGTGTGCATATGCACACATGGGTATCCATACACATACGTGTACACATACACATGCACACATGCCCCCAAATCACACAGAAACACATCTCCCTCCACACCCATCTTGACCTGAATCATGGCACATTTATGCCAACCTTGAATGAAGGCAGGGCTGGGATCATCCCAGTGATTCATCCATGGAAGAGACCTAGCTGAAGCCACATGTCTGGTATTGTATATGGTTGCTGCCACCAACAGCCCGTGGGCAGGGTCTCAGTGGCCATTCCTAGTTGTACCACCTCTAATCCCAGGGCATACTTAGAGAGTAAAGAGATCTCCACTGGCTGATGTAGCCCTGGTGGTTCTTGGTATCGATTACAGCTCCTGTATCCCCACGCTAAGCAGAGCCCTATTGTACAGAGTCCAGGTGACTATGTGTTGTGTGAAGGTGGGCTTAACTTTATGGAGAAGGGAAAGATAATACTAAGTGACCCTTTTGCCTTGCTCTCAGACATCGGAATAGTCTGAAAGGCCTGCAAAGCACCTGGTAGGGAGAACAGAGAGAGGTCGAAGTTTCCCTTGGCTTCAGCGTGCCTGGGTTAGACAGGTGGAACAGAATCACCTGTTTCTTCTGCTCTCTTTCTCTTCAAGGAGAGTTTCTGTTGCTTGGGAGCCAGAGAGGTGTTCTCAAGAAAATTAGAGGTGTCCCAGGAAGTGTTTTTGTCCTGTGGCTGGAAGGGGAGATTAGGCACCCCTGAGGCTCTTAAACATCCTCCTTCACCTATCCGAGTTTTGCTTGGACTGTCTACAACTGTTCCAGCCTCCAGCCTTGGCCAGATCAGTGCTCAGCACCTACCTCACTTCTATGTAGAAATGCTGTCCTATTAATGACTATGAAGCCAGAATTGGCCAGAATCGGAGTTGGGGAATGAGTGTGTGTGTGTGTGTGTGTGTGTGTGTGTGTGTGTATGTGTTTCTCTGTAAATGCTGAGAAAGGCAAGGAGCCTCAGGATTAGGGTGAAGCCCCTTTCCACCTCTGTCCCCTGGTCCCTAACACTCTTCAGAGAAGTCGGTTTACAGAGAACTTACCAAGAGAACACAAGGCTACGCTGCCGGAGGCACAGTGACTGTCCTTTGTTTCTGGGAATAGAGGAAAGGGAGGGAGGATGTGAGGCTAGCCTGGGTGGTGCAGTTGAGGGTGGAAATCTTGCTTTCTTTGCCAGTTGCCATGCCCACCTACCCAGAGGAGAGGCTAGCAGATCAGGTACTCTAGACACACAGAAGAGGGTGTAGATACAATATTGGGTGCCCATCTTCTCTCTGGCCAGGTGGGCAGGAGGAAACCTGTGCTTCGCATGGCAGACATAGGCCAGGAACACGGCTGGAGAGAGTGGGAAGGACAGGGGTAGGCTTGACCTCAGTTCTGAGCAGCCCAGGCCAGCCTGGCATTGTGTTCTCACCGTGATGACTATCGTCCACTCTTCCCGCTCAGCTAGTTTGCCCTCCTTCCAGCTCAACAAGAACTCTTTTGTGGCATGACCAGCCTGTACCTGACCTCGAGTCCTCTGGGGGTATGTGGGAGAGGACTCCTTCCCTGCCACCCTCCAGTGTGGTGGCCATTTCCCTTTGTTATGACCCCAGGGGCTTTCTTTTTTACTGTCTGTTTCTCATTGTTCCCCAGTTCTTAAGTCTCCAACTCACCCACATTGTCCTTGTCTGCTCCCTGTGCTCCAAGTTTCTAACTAGGACTCAATGGTCCCAGGAGCAAATGGAGACCATAACTTCAAAAAGACCAAAACCTTTGGCTTTGGGCCTGGGTTCTGTGTACTGCTGAGCTCAGTCCTAAGCATGAGCTTTCCCTTCTTCACTCTGGCCTTCCGCCACCCCAGTCCCCTTATGTGCCCTCTCAACCCTAAGCCTTCAGTCCCCATCCACCCACCTGGAATACCAATGCTCCTTCAGCCCCCTGCTGACACCCTTCTATTTGTTCACAGAGTCTTGGCGATCTAGAGGAAAACACAAAGTCTTTGGAGTTATATGGGCCTGATACAAAGTTTGGCTCTGCCATGTGATCTTGTGCAACCTCAGCAACCTTTCAGAGCTGAGCACCCTCTTTTGCAAAAGGAGGCCAGCAAGACCCATCTGTCAGGATACTGTTAAGACTCAGCCACAGCCGGGCGGTGGTGGCGCACGCCTTTAATCCCAGCACTTGGGAGGCAGAGGCAGGCAGATTTCTGAGTTCGAGGCCAGCCTGGTCTACAGAGTGAGTTCCAGGACAGCCAGGACTACACAGAGAAACCCTGTCTCGAAAAAAAAAAAAAAAAGACTCAGCCACAAGGCTGGGAAGAATGCCTCATGCCTGCCATCCTAGCACCAGGGAGGCTGAGACAGAGTGGCCTGGGCTTTGCAGTGAATTCAAGGTCCACCAGGGCTGACCCTGTCTCAACAAACCAACAAACCAACCAATCAAGACTCAGTTATAGTGCCTGGCACTATTGTGCATCCCATGTGTATTGTGTGTCCCTTCTTGTAGCCCTAATCTGTTGTTGTTGCTTTTGTTTTGTTTTGTTCTTTTCTTTCAAAGACTGTGTTCTACTGCTTATTCAAAACAGGCTTTATACATGTTTGTTGGACAAGAAGGCTCCAAAGACAGCTCAGGGCTTTCTGGAGCTCCAAGTTCAGGGCATATACTAGATCACTCTCCCTAACCCAGAGTCCCACAATGGCTCTGCCTTTCACAGTCCCAGCCTCAGGCTTCTCACATCCTACTGACCTGCTTTCCAGCCCATGGTAGCAGCAGCAGCAGCATCTTTGCCTGCTGCTGGGCTGGCTTTTGAGTTCCTAACCTGCCCTGCAAGCTGGCAAGATACTGGTTGTGCTGGCACTGTTCTTTCCTCTACATCAGCCACACCCTCCCTTGGTTAATGCACGATCGCCCCAGGACTCTGGGTGTAGAGGGCATGGTGACCCTGTCCCAGGAGACATGGGGGCCCTTAAGCTTTCCAGAGAGCCACCCCTTAACTATTCCTGGAAGGGTGCCCAGATAGGTGAGGTACACAGGCACCAGATAGGAGTGCTTGAGGTGGTGAGTCCTGCCTGGATCTACACCTCCATCTCTCCACTTCCTTCCCTACCCCTCCCAACCCTTCCCTCCCCTCAGCAAAATTCTGCTCCCTCCTGATCCAGCAATCTGGCTGGGACTAGGCTGAGAGAAGGAAAGAAAGCACACTTTTATTACAAACCTTTCCTTAAACCAGGCAACCCCCCCCCCCCCGGGCTTAAACTTGCAACGATCTTCCAGCTCTTGCTTCCCAAGTGCTGGGACTTCAGGGCTGTCTCTGCACACCCAGTCACATTCCCTTTTTCTTTTAAAAACAAAAACATCCACTTAACTAACATTGTACATGATATAAGAGGCACACGGTCCAAAAGGACAGAGAACAATTGGAGTCTCCTTTCCCTGTTCTTCATGTTGCTTCTGGTAGGACACCCACTGTTATTCGAGTCTTGTATGTACCCTGAAAGATTGTATTCACTTCACCCCCTCATGTCGACTTATCCATAAGGGGAAACTGAGGCTTTCAGAGACGTCAAGCAGCTTGAGCAAGGACACATGGCTGATAAGCTGACAAAGTAGCCTGAAATGTGGATGAAAATCTAGCTGTTAATATTGGGCAGAAGCAATCCTGCATAGCACCAGAGCCTCTCACAAGGCATTGGCTGTGACAGCTTCCACAGATCCTAGAGCTCTGTGATCTCTCTCATCCTGTCTTTTAAGGGTCTAGCCTCCTCTGTTGCTCTAAGGGCCTGGTCTGACTTCTTCCCATACCATAGAAGGGAAATTCCCATGAGTGCCCTTCCCTGGCTAATGTGTGACAGGTGGATCCCCAGGGCCAGTCTGATTCCTGGGATCCAGAGAAGTAGTCACAGGGAAGCCACATAAACATGGGTCTCTGGCTGAAGAGGATCGTGGTTGTGGTTTCAATTACATTTCAAGAAAATAGTCTCATGATCTCCCTGTGGCTATGAAGGAAGGATGTGAAATGAAGGAGCTGTTCTTTGTGGTGGCCACATGGTCATCCACGGGCATGAAGGCAGAAGGTTCCAGTTAGTCCTGGCTGAGAACAGGATGTATTGCCATAGGCTGTGAGCCAGGCCTTGGGGCTCTTCCATGCAGTCTCTTTCTCTCTTGGTCAGGCCAGAGTGGACTGAGAGCTGTCCCCCAGTAGTCATCTCTACACCTCCAGGGATCTTTCTGGAATTTCCCAAGATCCTACTTTTCTATTCAATTTCTTTCCAGCACTTTCTGTATCTAAGACTGGTGTCCTCCCAACATAGAAGCAGTATGGTCCTACGATCCAAAGAAGAGGTATCTGGACTCATCTGCCTTTTCAAACGGGGGAGGAAGCTGATGGACCTTTCTTCCTGTCAGAATGACAGCTTTCTGTTTTGCTGAGATAGCCACAGAACATTCCATCCTTTGTGCCTCCAAACACAGGCTACCTAGCGAGCAGTCAGAGATGTGCTGTGGGTTTCTTGGCTGCACTAGCACCCTTTTGGACGCTGTTGGTTATCAACTGTGGTAGCTGAGTTGAGTCCTAGACCTTATCCAATCTCTGGAAAAGAAGTTTAAATCTTAGCTCTTATCAATAACAATAACAGTTAACATAAACATAATGGGTGACTGGGTTTGAAGTATCTCACATCTCTTAGCTCGCTTGATTCTCAGGACACCATGAAGTAGACAGTATTGATATTGCTATGTAGTGAAAACAGAGAACGAGGCAGAAAAAGAGTCACAACGGTATGACTGCTTGTGGACCTTGTGCCCTTGATATGTACATAGTCCTTGCAGTTTCCTTTTCCAGGGTATAGCATATTTACTGGGTGTCTACACAGGGCTGGGTGTGGGTGGGGGGATTTAAAGGTGAACAGGATATTGTGTCTGCCTTTGGAGGAGACACAGGCTAACAAGAAACTGTTCTTCAACATAAGAAGTATGGTGATAAGGCATGGTACGAAGTATGTGGTGAGAAACAGGAGGGTAACAGTTCTACTGGCTAGATTCTAAGCCCTAGAGCAGCAGCCTGTGGATTGAGACCCAGTTGAGGATCTAGGGGCCCTCTCACAGTGGTTACCTAAGACCATTAGAAAACACAGCTATTTACATTACGATAAGCAACAGTAGAAAATTTATAGCTATGAAGTAGCAACGAAAATAATTTTATGGTTGGAGTCCCCACAACATGAAGAACTGTATTAAAGGGTTGCAGCATTAGGAAGGTTGAGGACCACCACCCTAGAGCAAGCATCACACAGAAAGGCCAGCAGTGTGTCCTGGAAGAGGGGACAGCATGCAGATATGAAAGCTTGAACGGAGAAATGTACCCTGAAGTTTTACCTCGTCCTAAGCTGGCTGGGGGGGGGGGGAGGGAAGCCCAGGGACTTCCTGGCCCAGTCTCCAAGCTCTCTCCCTCTATTTTGTGCCACACACTGCGTCAGGTGTTGGCCCAGCCTGTGGGGCAGGAGCAGAAGGGCCCTGTGATCAATCAATACCCCCAAACCTTTCTGCCTGTGAAGGCTGCTGGAAAGAGGATCATGGGAGAGCTTGCCTCTTGGTCCTGCCTGGTTAGGAAATTTTTCAGCTGAACAAATTGTAGGGAATAGACATTCTGTGTGTTTGTGCAGGGCTGGGAAGGGGTCCTCCCTCTTTTGCCCCTGCAGCTGAGGTTTCTGCAGCTGGAGTTTCTGTATCACTGATGTGCCTTGCTTCCGGGCTGGCCTGGCTGGCCCTTGGAGTGTTGCCAGGGAAACCACTGGCCAGCTCGGGAGATGGAGCGCAGGAGAGTGGGTGACTCAGGTTGCCTTCTCTCACACACACATACAGCAACCCCTCCCCAACATTGGGGAAAGGATCGTAGAGACCCTCTACCCCTAGAGAGAATCTAGATGGCCCTGGATAAACCTGTCATTCCCATAACCATGATTAGTTACCAACAAAAATTCCCAGGGAGGAAGGCGTCTCCCTGTGCCCCATAGATTCACCCAGGGACAGTCCACCGATCCAGTTGGCCCGGTCCTGCCTGTGCCCGTCGGGGTAGTGCGACAAGGGCCTTGGTTTAAGCCTCCCTCCCGGGAGCAAGCTCGGGATAATTATTGATCGGGGCTACTATGGACTTCTGCCCTCAGCCTGAGAGCTAGAGGACCCGGAACGTGGGCCTGGTTCCCGGCGGGAGGGCGGTGGGCGGGCCGCGGAGGGGGTGTCCCAATCTCCAAGACCACCGCTGCCTGTGCCCTTGAACGGGGGTCGCCCCCACCCAAACAGAGCAGCCTGTGTTGGGGGTCTGGGGGCCTCGCGGGGCTGTCCAGGACGGCCGGGCGCCTGGCTCGGCCGACAGCGGGAGCGCGCGGCGCAGGCCCAGCCGAGCGCGTCCCCGCGCCCCGCTGCGCCCAGGGGGTTCCGGGGCCCCGCAGGGCGGCCGCACAGGGGGCGCGGAGGGACCTCGGGGCTGGCGAGCGCGCGCGGGCAGGAACCAGGAAGCGGGGCGCGCTCGGGGTTAAGGGCGGGCGCGCGTCCCCGGAGCCTGGGCGCGAGAGCGGCGCGCGCGCCCCCGTGGGCCCCGGCGGGAGGAGAGTCGGCGGCCCAAGCCGTCACCCCGGGCGGGGACCGAGCGCCGGCGACGACGCGCGGAGGTCCTGCACTGGGAGGGAGCGAGCAGGCGCGCGAGAGAGCGTGCGGGGCCGGAGAGACCGCTGGCTCTGGTGGGGCAGAACGAGGTAGGAGCTGCGCCCCGCGCGGGGCCGGGGGGCCGGGGAGCCCGGGCGGGGCCCCGTGCTCCCGCTGCCTAGAAGCTGGGCAGGGCCGAGCCGCCGCCATCGCTCCGGGGCCGTGGGGAGGCCGCGGGGGCCGCGCGCCGGGCGGCTGCAGAGGGGCCCGGGGCGCTGGCGGGAGGAGTGAGGGGGCACGCGGAGGCCGCGGCGGGGGGTGCCGTGGAAAGTATTGGCGCGTGCGTGTCACGGTGGGTGTGTGAGAGACGCCGACAGAACCGATCCCCTGGGAGCGAGGGGACTGCTGTCGGCCGCCTCACACCTTCCTGTTGCATTTCTGAAGAGTCTCTGCTGTCTCCCAGTTTTTCCTCTTAATATTATGTGCCCCCAAAGTGGGGCTGCCC